TCTCTCTCTCTCTCTCTCTCTCTCTCTCTCTCTCTCTCTCTCTCTCTCTCTTTCTCTTTCTCTTTCTCTAATTACTCGAATTCGCCCGGCAAACTTTCGATATGATCGATTGGGGTGAGGGAGCGTTTTATCTCGAGAGTCGTAAAACTTTCTATGCGCGAGTACGTCGAGTGCGCGCGCGCGAATCGTGACGAGCGTTATTTCGAGTGCCGTTCTTCCGGAATTTTTCATGTTCGCTGTTACACGTTCATACACGTGCATATTGTGTATGCGCGCATCATTTTAGAGAATCCCCGGTCTAACGGTATCGGCCAGCATCCTGCAGGTATTCTTTTTCGACGTATCAGCTACGCTAGTTCCAGTTTCGAGTTGTAGCGGACGTTTCCCGCGCGATTCGTTGTGCGAGCACGAGCGCGGCATCAATAATCCGGCTCTATTTATCGCCGACTTCGTAACGCGCGTAACTTCAATTAAAGCAGCCCGTTACCGGCGTTTTCTTCTGCCCGATACATTTCATTGCTGTTACATAAATAATTAAGTAAAGCTCGGCGATCTAGTTGCGCGCCAGTCGGACGATTAAAATGCCGGCCTATTAACCGCTAATCGACGTCGGGCGTAATTGCGCGGCGCGTCCACCAAGTGGCACGATTCTAAGGAAGCGGTTCGAGATCGTCGACCTCTTTTCCCGGCCTTTCGCGACCTCCGGGCACACACAGACACACATACACATCATATCTCAAAATAAGTGACAAGATAAAGAAGTCAATAAAATCGAAAGGACGATCGTTTTAATATGCGCGCGTTTACAGTTAGCAGCCCGAATATCAAGGATGCGTTCGTCGCAACCCGAGTCGAAATTTGGATTCTGCATCAATCCTGCAAATTCTGACAAACTTGAAGAATCGATGGAGAATCTCGAGTTATAACACATTGTGCAGATTAATTAGGCTTGCAAGTACTTATGTCGTACTATTGTTTTCTACACGTTAATTTGTCCGTGTAACAAGAACTTGTTATATGCACTATTAATGTAACTTGTTTGCGTGTAAGTGAAGTGCGTAAAATGAGCAAATATTAAATATTTAATATGATTAATGGGTGAAGAAACAACACGTTTTCAATCTTATAATTTTTCTTCTTTCTCGACGTTTCGTTGGAGCTCTCAAAAGAGCTGATAAGAAAGAGGCTGTAAAGATAAAGATAACAGTTGTGTATCCAATAATACTGTTTACCAGTAAATATTTAGATTTAATTTCAGTACAATAACAAAAGATTAAACAGAAAGCAAGAAAAAGCGTCGACAGATGTCAACAAGATAAGACGGCTCAAGAAGCATTATTAGACACAAGAAACAGTAATTGCAATGTTTACAG